GGTTAGTACGTACAAAAATCAGGTTTTGATCATATGATTTATATAGTCCCGCAGCATGATTTTCGTACGTACTAACCCACATTATAACTTTATTAGATATAATTGTAAAACAAAAAATTATTATAGAAAGTATAACAATTGTCTTTAATTACATTAAAAGTCTGTTTAGCCTGATTTGTGTCGAGATGAGCTTCTGTAAGAATCACAAGATAAACATTTATTGAATCACAAACCATCAACAACTCAACCTTTCAAAGAGCTAAAAAAATAATACATATAATATAAAAAAATAAAAGAAAAAGAAAAAAGAAAATAAAAGAAAACATATAAACAAGAAGAAACTACTTAGATTATAATAACAAAATTGAATATTGTTGGCTATTTCAGTTAAAAAAATTATGCAAATGCCTTTGATATTCTCACAAAATGGTTATACCAGAAAGAAATACAAACAAGATTAATACAGGCTTCCTTCCTACCAAAAGACTCACACTTTCTGTAACTATATAGGGTATACAAAATCCTTTTACCAGTTAATAAGATTTGAAAGAAAATTCAAACCAACTTGTCCATTTTAGTAAAAATTTAATACTAACGAAACGTATTCAATAGCAAATGGTCTGACATTTCGTTAACTCATCAATCACAATGTACATATTGGTTAGAAAAACTAATACAGTGAGTACTTCTAACAAAGAAAAAGAAAAATTTCTAGTAGTACGATTATATAATAATAATTTCGATCCAATTATTACAATATGTGAAATCCTGACTCCAAAGACAACCTTTGCCAAATTGGTGATATACATTAAATTGATACTTAGATCATAATTTCCATAGAAGATTCTAGTAAGTATGAACTGCGTAACTGCTGCAGCTCTTCTATCGACAAAAATAAATAGTAAACAAAAAAAGGAAAAAGTAAAGGCATTTTCTGTACTACCAAAGCAAATATCAATCAGCAAAATTTAGATACCCCTTAACGCCCACTTTATCTTAGTAGATATATGGGAGGCGGTCAGTAGAAAAGGGAGAAATCCAAATTTTGGATAAAAATTTTTTAATTAGTTCACTTCACTGATCGACTACAATGGTGTCATGTAGTTGATGTTCCTTTCAATGATGTTGATGCTTTTTTGACACTCCCCATAAATTCTCAATATAGAAAAATTGGATGTCTCCACATACAACAAAATATTCTGCGCTCTTATCCACGTCAATCCTATCCACTCAGTAGGCTTTGATGCAGTTTTTCTCATTTTATGCTTTATGACTTAGCTTTTTCTACATACCTCAAAACAACTATTTCTTTGAATCCATACATAGTTTCTTTTAATCTTTCTTCTCTTTTTGATGTTTCTTGATGATTAAACTTTCCAATATTGCACATTCTATGTCTAGTTCCTCTTACATTCAGTTTTATACTGATGGTTCCTTTCTTAATACAGGTACCTCTTCATCTAGAATGGGCTGTGCCTGGTTAATTACTGATCTGATTAATCCTTCTATCTCCAATGCTACTTAAAAGGCATCTTCACCTAGTGCTTCTTTAACAGAGCTAACTGCTGTAATTGCTGACATCTACTGACTCAATGGTCACTATTCAAACTTCAAGAGATTTCAGCACCTTTTGGATGTTTCTCCACCAATAACCCAACATACAAAATAGATTATCATGATATTTGACATGCTCTTAAGTTGATCTCAGCTAAACAACTTAAGATTGTTTTCACTAAAATATGGGCTCATGGTTCTAATGACCATAAAATATTGCAATTTAACTAATGTTTTATCTTACACCCATACATGCTAAATTCCTTTGATCTCTCATTTACCACATCCCATTACCTCTCCATCATCTGTTAAAACAAACAATATTAATAATTTTGTCATTTGTTGGCACCCTTCATTGGAAATGGCTGAAGCAGGCAGACTAATTCTAATCAAGGAACTTCTTTTTATATTACAGCACTTCACGTCTACAAAAGCTGAAGATTTTACTACTATAGTGGAGGCTGTTCCTTTAATGATTTTGATGCCTTAGCATTGCTAAAGGCGAACTTAAAATATAGAAGAGGCTGTTGTCTGTTTACTTACAATCATTGGCATTGTGCTGCTATTAATATCAAACCTATTCGTAATATTGGTCTTAGATGCAGATTCTCACACTTCATGTTATTTGACTTGGCACACACTACATTTCATAATTCGACTGATTCTCAATCAACAACTCTTTCTGACTCATATAATATTACTCATCTTTTTGACTTTGTCTCAATGAACTCCCTTTCTAATATTACACATTCCTTTACTTATACCTCTTCTCTCTAGTTCTATACAGATGGCTCTTTAACCGAAGTTGGTACCCTTTCATCCAGAATGGGAATAGCCTGGTTACTACTTACCGCTCCAAATCTTCCTTCCATCTCGTTTAATGTGTTTAATACCACTTTTAAACGCTTCATCACCCAGTTCTTCTTTTACTGAACTATTGCTGTTACTACAGATATTTGTACTGATTCTTCGGTTACTATCCAAAACTTCAAGTGCTTTCATCACCTGTTAACTATCTCTTTGACCAACAACCCAACTTTCAAGATGGATTGTCATGCTATATGGCATGCTTTGTTCTGCATAATTATTCATAAAAACTTAAATCTTAGCTTCACCAAAGTCAAAGCTCATAATGGTAACAAACACAATGACACTGCCAATCAACTTGCAAAATAGTATACTCCAAATGTAATCTCTTTTAATGCTAATGCTTTAGACGTGAAGCATGTATTTTGTTATAAACAATTTCCCATCAATGCTTCACCAAGAATTATACTTAGGGATGCTCTCCATGCCTCACAATTTCAAAGCTTCATAGATTCATCTAAAGATGGTTCCCATAATTATTTTTAAAATTTTTAACTAGTTGCAACTTAAGTTGCAATACTTTGAGTTACAACTTTTTATGAATTTTTATATTAAAATAAATTTACAAGGAGTTGCAACCAAGTTGCAACTCAAGTTGCAACTTACCGAGTTGCAACTTCTTAATTATGGTATCTATCTTTAGATTTATCACATTTTTCAAAATACGGGAGAAGATCCATACATTAGGAAGCCACCTGTTTTGTCTTGAATGACAATGAAAGTTCTTAAAAGAAGACATCTGGTCTTTTACCTACGAAATTTACCTTGCGTAGTTTGCAACATCATTGAAGAGGATTTTGATCATATTTGGCTTTGCTCTGTCAGCTGAAATATCATACACAATGTTGGTGTGTCAACATGGCGCCTCCTACTCATTACCTTACAACGTTTCACCTCATACTACTCATTTACGTTCATCAACCTAATTAAATGCATTGTACCTAAATACTTATATGATAAGATTTACTGTTTGACCAAATTGAAACAATCCATTTATCAACATGCATATGAAAATGCTATTGAAGCCTGAAAGAATCGATGCATTTTCATTAATACCTTTGAAAAAGCAAATAATATCAATAATATCAATAATATCTCTCTTAAATGAAAGAAAAACAACTGGCATACTATTGTGATCCCATCTCAATTTGATAATGCTTTCTATTGTGGCTCCTCCTGGTTTGATTTTTGGATTGGTAGTAACCGGGCCCTTCTGGCCCTTCTCCTGGATTGTTAAGGTTATTTGTGTTACAGGTAATTAGTCTAGGAATGTGCAAGGTCGGTTTTGATTTAGTTTAGTCTTTTAGATTAGAGTAAATAGAAATTTTCGTTTTTTCATTATTTGTTTTTGTACTTTGTATAAATTTATCATTTCAATAAAGATTCAACGAAACTACCGCACATATAAAAAAAATAATAAGAATATCCAATATCTAAGAAAATCTGAAATCATTTTCTGCTGATCCACTGACCATGCCTCAGTAAGCAAAAGTAAAAAAACATTTAACAATAACCCAAGTAAAAAAGTACAATGTAGCTGTTCTGGCTTGCCAACAAATAAAAAAGCATCTAAGAAACTTCAACTTGATACTCCAGACTACTTAATTCCAATGATAACCAAAAGGGGGAAATCTAAATTTTGGTCAAAATTTATATTATTAGACCACTTGGCTAATCTTGATTATGTGCACAAATTTGGCTTAATAATAAAAATTAACAAAAATTTTGGATTTCCCATATGAAGACGAAAGTTTTGATACTTCCAAGAATTTTTTGGGACCTAAAAATTTAATACTAAAAATATTATTAATTTTGAGAGGGAGGACAATACCCTCATCTTCTTTGCTTATTGCGCTAGTGAAGATTTTCTTCCAGATCGACCAGCCAATGAAATAATTAATGGATCTCAATTAAACAAACAAAAATAGTCTGAATTGGTTTTTCTACATGAACATGTCATTTGCCTTTTTCGGTAAAATAGCTTGTTTTGTAATGACCACAAAAAATTTATGGCAACAGGGCACATTAACTTTTGAACAAGGAACAGATGTCTCAATTAGATAACGTCTATGGTTACTTTGTTTTTAAAGACATGGTTCACATATATATCAATGTAAATATTGAAGATAGGGAAAAATCTAAATATTTGCTAAAGCTTACCAATCTACCGGTGAACACAAAACGACCAGCAATTAATCCCTATTGGAAAAGCTTAAATAGCTAAAATTCAGATGAAGTACAAAATGGAGACTTTTTATTTAGATTGCAAGAGACTTATTTGGATAGACCCAAATAGTAAACTTTGTTTTATTTGCTCTATCAGAAAAGCCAGACGAATCACAAGGATCACTAAACTCAAAATTTATATCAATGCTACCAACCTGCCCAATTTAAGAATTATATTGCGTTTTTTAAACCGTTCTCAAAATCTGTTCCTTTTGCTTACGTGACGAGTAATGGAAAAGATAATAGACTAAAGGATTCCAAACCAATACCCAAAGCCATTCTTTTGTGACCAAATGCAAGGATTGACAATTAAACTACACTTGATAATTTCTTAGATGCGAGCATTCATGCACATGACTCTAGAAGATGATTATGTTGTGAAAGCTGATATTGACACTTCTGAATCAATCGTAATCTCATAAGATTGATACCTCAAATGTAATTTACAAGAGAATGTTGCAAAATTAAACGAAGCTCTAAAAGCTGTATTCATTATGCAACAATTGATGTTTGGTGGACATCTCCATGAAAGTCGTAAAATCCACATTAATGTTTTGAATAGACCTGAAGATTTCATAAACACACCCAATGAGGAATTCCCACCTAACTCCTCATTATTTTAATGAATAGTATCAATAAAAATACTGGTGCCAAATATCATACAACATCCATCTTATTACCCATTCTCAATATTGCCACCCATAATGTTATTTTACTAAATGATCTATGAAACAGCAACAACAGCAACTCTTAATGAACCTAATTCAATAACATATATCATTGCTCTACGAGACATTAAATTTCAATCACACCAATCAGTTATTTCATTTAATAAAAGTCTATATTGTGCTCTCTTCAACATACAACCAGACCCGAATAATTGACCTGCAATTACAAAACAAATATCATATTTAGAATTATAAACACTTATATACCCTTTGGATAATTTCTTAAGAAAAATTATATAATAAGATTATCGATTTATTCAACCAATCTGTCTGATAATCATGTCCTTGTTACGTTCTTATAACAATAGACCAACCTCTACTATTAAGAAAACTCCTTTAACATTGATCTAACATTAACTTTTGTTGGAATATACTTCAAACCTTAACTGCTACGAAGAAAACCAATCATTTCCAGTAAATAATCAAGTAGCCATATTAAAGATCTATGTCCCAAACTTCTCAAAAAGACCTATAGCTCCTTGAAACACTGACTTCTAAAAAAGGAATGGAGTCATTACTATTCTGTAATCTTGCGTATTGCTATTGCATACCAGATTATTTTTACTTAATAAAGAACTTATCAATCAATTATATCAATAATATCAAGCCATATCACGAAAGGTTCTAGCAATAATAATGGTCTCTTGACTGATTAGATTGATGTCATCCATGATACTAATAGATATCAATACATCGTTTTCTATTTCAAGAATAATAATTGGCACAAAATGAAAACACTATCTATCTTGACTGAAAAAGACTTATTTGGACAAACCCATCTACCAATCTGACAATTGTAGAAAAAAGGAAGCGTTCCTGATAATTCTGGATTACCATCAAAAACTATATTACCAAGAACTCCACCTAATAATGACCACAAATGAGAGGAGAATTTCTATGACAATTATGGACAACCAGACAAATTGACCTTTTAATGACTAAACTCAATGCAGTTACCATCAACATTTGCAGGTATAGATACATCTGAATCTATCATCACAACACACAAACTTGATATCGATTATTTAAAAGTAAATGTTGAAAAACTTAATAAAGTACTTAAAGCTGTAGATATGATGCAATAGATGATGATCAGTGGTGATCAATTACATGGACCTGAAGGCTCAAGAAGAACGTCCATCACAAACATCCTATTGGTATCTGTTTCAAAAATATGCCCAATATCTTACCAATTCTTATCATCATCACACACAATATAATATCTTTTAATGATCCTATCAAACAACAATTATTAATGAACCTTTATCAACAATATGACGCCAATATCATTGCCATATAGGACATCAAACTACTAATATCTGCCTTTTTTAACATTCAAATAGACCCTATATCATAAAACAGTAGTTGCATTAATTTTGTTGAAATATCTTGCTGATCAAATTTACCATCATGATGGCATTTAGGGTAGAATTATTTATGCAGACTTGCAGCTGCAAAATAAATATCACATTCAGATTATTAATGCATATATTACAATTCTCTTAGAAAAAAAGTTATATTTCAAATTAGTTGATTTTTCGAATTACCCATACAGGCTGTTTTGTTAGGAACCTTAATGTTGAACCTAAAAGATTTACAAATCTTAAACATTCAAATCTTATTTTTTGTACATTAGCCTCCTACCTTCCATAGAAATGGTTATATCCCAAGTAGAATCGATCACGCTTACTGTTGTCACTCAAACACTCTCACAATCATCCATTTCAACTGATAAGTCAGAACATAATTTGCTCATAACCATATTAGAATGCATACCAAATGACCTACCTAACCTATAAAGAAACGTATTTTAACACAGACAAAATGACCCAAGACAAATGGAACAAATTCGCATCTATACGGATTCCTTATTATATAATAGCTCTATTAAAGATATTGATTCCAGTTATCTTCTATGTAAAAGCAATATCAATTTCTATTGGAATATCCTACAGAATATTATTATTACAGCAGGTAATACAATAATACCTAGTAAACAATTAAGTGCTCATAGTAAAGGACATTCGACCAAAACTTCTAAAAAAAGCATATAGTACTTTAAAGTGCATTCAAAAGTGGTCAAAGATCACTTCCAATATCATTAAAACACAAATTTTTAAAGAGGAATGGAATCTGCTTTTAATAAAAATTGTTCCAATTGCCCATGAATTACAAATCACCTTCTTTGAATACTTTACTAAGGTTATCTCTCATTAAATAAATCTATTATGCTTATACTACAAAAAAAAGCTTATGAAATAAGAACATAAAATAATATTGCGCTTGAGAAATGATGCCAGAATTTCAAAGACAACCAATCAGAATGATCAACTCTATAATAAACCGACAAAGATATACAATCCTTCTTTATCCTTTAAGAACCAGAATTCAGTGCATTTTCAACTCACTTCCTCAACTCTTAATCTTATTCTGGCAAAATATAACGCATTTATAAGATACTTTGGAATATGGATCTCAATGTCACATATCAAAAATTTTATCCAATAACAAGTTCAACAATAAGTTCATGTAGCCTCTTATGCTATAATGTCCAAACTTCTAACAGACAAACAAATTACTTATACCTTTAATATTGTGATTCTACCACGAATTTTGTATAGAACACAGCTACCTTTCTAGGACAAACATTTTGTGACAAATCAAGAACATGCATATCACCACTTTTCATTCACCTTTATTATATATCCTAATGCATCTTTTCGATAGTCAAATCCAAGATAAAACACTGCTCTTTATAATATTTCTAATGATAAAGTATTGCCCATAATTGATAACATCATCCACCTTTCAATTCTTTCAATTCAAAATTTTTTTTCTTTAACAATAATAATGGAAAATCCTATCCCTTCTAACAAAAAAGAGCCCTTTGCTAAAATAAACAAAGACCAGTATAAATAAAAAAAAAGTCTTGCAATTGGCTATAAAATTATTACTTGCATTTTTGATAGAACAAAAAGAGGAAGTAAATAATTTAAGTACAAAACGTGGTGGTGGGGGTAATATAAATGCAAAACTTTGGCAAATGCACGTCTGTTATATCTTTTAATAACAATTTCAAATATTCTGCTGAACAGTGTGCAAATAAGTGGAAAAACATTAAAAAGAATTACAAGGTGATTTTTTGTATTTATTAATTTAATAACTTTTTTTAATAAAAATTTTTTAGAATGATGTGGATCACAATAAACAAAGTAGTAATAATCCAGTTGAAATTCAATATAAGACAGAAGTAGAAGAAATAATTGACGGAATTGTCCAAGTTTAACTCCAAAGTGTTAGATAGTAGTTTGAATATTGGCGACCTTGATAATCCATTTAATGAAATTACAGGGCGAAATAAACAAAAGAGAAAAAACGAATCTGAATTTAATCAAGAAAAACCACAAAAAGCTTATAGATCTGAAGTTCGAAAAATCAAGAATTTGCTAGATGATTTAATGTATCAAAGAATAGAGAAGCAAGAATACAAAAGAGAAGAGCGTAAAAGAAGAGAGATAGAAAGAAAGCAAAAAGAAGAGCAAAGGGAATTTAATTTACTAATTACTGCTTTGCACTCTTCAAATAATATAGCATTACCTCAGACTAATCATGATATTAAAATTAAAAATTATTTATAATTATAATTTATATTCTTATTTACTTATTCAATTAATTATTTGTAGTTCCTTTTATTATAAATCTACTCCATTTGATTTGCAAAATAACCCTTCAGAAATTATTGCTACACAAAATTAATAATACAATACAGATTAATACTACGCAAATTAACAATATTTTGCCTAATAATAATAATACTTCATATTCTTACCATCACTGATAAAATTATATCTATTTCTTTTATTATCTCTTTGAATTTTTTTATTTCACAAATTATTTGCTAAATTATCACTAACAGAATTAGTTGAATTAGTTATACTATCATTATCTAATAAAGTTGTAAATGATTTTGATTATCAAAGTATTAACAAATATTATGTAAAATACAAGTTGCTGTTATAATAAGGATGGAAGTTTTATAAAGGATAAATTAAACATCTAAATCTTGATTTTAATTTTCCAAATGCTTGTTCTTCACCTTCTACACTTATATGTGTTTGAGAACATTTGGGGCTGTTGCAATAGAAAGAGGGGAAACAGCCAGAAAAATCAAAAATAAGTTAATGCTAAATTTGAACATATTTCAGCCTAAAAATCATATTTGTTATATAAAAGTAAAATTAATTTTTCCCAACAGTTTTCCTCCTTTCTAATGCAAAGGCCCATATAGGAGGTTTGCTAGGAAAATAAGACTCTAAGCATTTTTTATTAAAATTTTAATTTTTATTGCATTTAATCTAAGAATATTACTGAGTTTACATAGGGTGTTTAGACACGTTTATAGTGACACGTGTATTACGTCATATTTACATAATAATAATTGTAACTTGTTATATTGATTGTGACTGTTAATTATAATAAAAAAACTTGATATTTTAATGGTAAAAGAACTTTATTATAAATGATATTTTGTTGAAAAAGGGCTTATTTCTTGCTCTTTTAGTTATTTTACTGCTCAAAAGATGTTCATTGACAACTGCGAAAACATTATCCTTGATAATTAAAATGTTAGTCACTTTCATTCTACTACTATATTCGTATGATACATTATCCTACAATAAATTACCAGATTTTATAAATTTTACTTAGTAATATATAGTAAAATTGAAGATATTTGATAGCTGATCAATTATAGTTTTTTAGATATTAAAATGAAAAAAAGAAATTTTTTAGAACAAAAAATTTTTCTCATATTGAAGTATAAGCAACAATTTTTTTGCATTTTTATATATAAAATATTGTTTATTACTTTACAAATGAGTATTTTTTCAGTATTTTATAAATAGAATATTATTGAATTATATTTTTCAAAATTATAATTGATTGGTTATTAAATAAAAAAACTTAGAATGAAATTTATTAAAAATTCACAAACTTTTATGCAATCTGAAAATCTTCAATTTACTATATATTACTAAGTAAAATTTATAAAATCCGGTAAATTACGCATCATGCAACAAAATGCCCAATAATACCTATGAAATCAATATCTAATAAAGGAATCTTTATTTCATTTTACTTAATAGGATACTGATGACGATTTGCATGATGATAAAGATATTGAATAATCAACCAAAATCGTTAGAATTAATTTCTGGACTTAGCTTCGCCAATTGGGATGAGATTAAATATTGGATCAATAGATTTGCGTTAAAAGAGGGATTTGATTACAGAATCAGAACAAGTGAAAAAGTTGAAGATGTGGTGAGAAGGACTACTTATGAGTGTACCAAGTCAGGTGCACATATTTCACAAACTACTTCAGATCCAACAAAAAGATATGATGCCCAATCTTCAAGAATACTATGTAAATGGAAGCTTAATGTCTCTCATCCAAAAACAAGTGGTGTTGTAAAAATCAATTCATTTAATTCATTTAATAATGATCCTAATCACCCACTTATACCAATGATTTCTGAAATTGCATCACGGTTTCATAAGTTGATGGATGAAATGTTGATTGATATAGAGAAATATGTTGTTCAAGAAAGAATGGACTCTATGTCTATCTATTCTTTACTTAGGCATGATTACCCAGATCATTCTATTTACAAAAAGGATTTATACAACGCGGTTTATACATTTTATCAGAAAAACAATCCAGAAGAAGAAGATGCCTCTCAGATGCTTCAGTTATTATTGGAATGGAAGGATACAGAGCCACTTTATATCATAAAGCCTCATTTAGAACCTGTTTCAAGAAGGTTAAACTCTCTTTTATTATCATCTAAAAGAGTTTTAAGTGTAAGATATTCAACATCTCTAGAACAAGATAATTCAATTTTTTCCTTAACATAT